TATATATATATATATATATATATATATATATATATATATCACACAAGTGATTTATGCTAGCTCTCTTTAAGGATCATAGCTAAATAATGCTATCTCATGTAAACAAACAGTAGTTGTAGTGAATGTTTGGTTTTGTTTATGTACTTAGATGAGAGAGTGTTTGTGTATTCAGGGTGGAGGTTCATGTCAAGTAGATGACCATAGCTGTAAATCCACCAATCAAAGTGATGATACCATGTCCTTCTCTCGAAGTTTCAGCACAGTGGAGCGGAACGGTCCTAGGAGAGTGAGTTGGCCAATCCCCTAGATGACTGACGGAGATGTTCTGTCAGTCTCGTTTCTGCGTCCCATGAGAGCACTGGACCGGTTTCAGTTAATGAGCCCCAACTGCGCTAATGTGTGTTAAAATAGGACTATGTGATTCCCTGCTGCTCTAGCATCACAGCATTATGACAGGCACCGGTGCATCAGTAGCACTGTGGTACACTTCATTCTCCATGATTACACCCTTGTGCTTCAAGCATCGACACTACAACAGGTCCACGCGCCTGACATTCGAGGGAATATACTTTCGTTACAACACTGCAAGAGAACTTATTCACTCCGATTAGATTCACTGTGTTCCTTGACCACTGTCGTTGTACGGGAAAAGGAAAAACGTGCAAAGTTGTCAGTAGGATGGCATTTTCTTGTGAGATATGCTTGAAAAGAAACTGTTTTGCTCTGCTAGTTCTCTTGGTTGCCATCTTACACACAATGTGGCTCAATTCAGCTCATCTGTAATGAAAAGTTCTTTCGGCTTTCAGCCTCTTTGCTATTAAGTGAAAGTGACGTGACATGTGGCCAAGTATGGTGACCCATACTTGGAATTTGTGCTCTATATTTAACCCATCCACACACCCAGCAGTGAACATACACACACACCGTGAACACACACCCGGAGCAGTGGGCAGCGCGGGGAGCAGTTGGGGGTTCAGTGCCTTGCTCAAGGGCACCTCAGTCGTGGTATTGAAGGTGGGAGAGAGCGCTGTACATTCACTCCCCCCACCTACAATCCCTGCCGGTATGAGACTCGAACCTGCAACCTATGGGTTACGAGTCCGACTCTAACCATTAGGCCACGACTTCCCCTATTATAGGGTACATAAAGTAGTTTAGGGGGTGTCTTGTTGTGTGGAATTATTAGAATTATAAAATGTGAATCAGTCAGTAATGGGCATGTAGACACTGCAAAGTTACAACCTCATTTAAATATTGCAGCGTACAGATTGTTATTTTTTGGACCATTTCTAGAGTAATACCAGACACTGAATTCCCCAAAATTCTGTCATAATTTACTCATCTATATCTCGCTGTAAACCCCCTAAGACTTTGTTCAATCTTTACCACACAAATTAAGATCTGTTTAATGAAACCTAATGCTTTTGTCCCTCCATTGAAAGTCCAGGTAACTAAAACTTTGAAGATTCAAAAAGGTCACAAAGGCATTGGAAAACCAATCCATGTGAATCAAGCAGTTTAATTCAAGTTTTTTTATAGTATCAACAGATTTAATTTAGGCCTTTTTTACATCTAAACAATGATCAACACACATACATAAACTTTTTTCCTCATTTTCTTTTTCTTTTCTTAATGATTTGAAAATGGCTAGTTTAATTACAGCAGGGCTGGGCAACTTCAGTCTTTGAGGGCCACAGTCTTGCAGAGTTTAGCTCCAACTCGAATCAAACACACCTGCCTGTAGTTTTTTAGTGATCTTGAAGACATTGATTATCTTGTTCAGGTGTGTTTGATTAGGGTTGGAGCGAAACTCTGCAGGACAATGGCCCTCCAGGACCGAAGCCCAGCCCTGGGTTACAGGGTAGTGATAGACAAGACGCTATATCTGAGAATCCACTGTGCAGGTTTCTCTTTGTGAGGTTTGGTTAGCAGTGACTGAAACGCAGCTTTACACACAATTTCCAGTCTGCATGGAGAGGATCTTCAGACTCCAGTAGCTTCAAACACCTGTTTGCTGCTCAGCAGTGGCTTTTTTTACAGCTGGCATTACAGTACAGTTAATTTGTTTGACAGAAACTTTCCTTAATAAATCTTTATCTGACCAAGATCTTCTGTGCTCTAAATCACTCACAAATCTTTTGACAGTTCAATAATTTCTATTTGCTTTTTGCAAAATATTGTTTGTTTTGATGCCTTTTGCAAGACATTGCATTGTTTCATACTTTTCATATTCAGAAAGATCTTTCTTCCTCACCATATTGCATGAGAACAGTGACTTGCTTAATAATGTGGAACAACCTCTAAGAAGACCTGGCAAACTATTGAACAAACCTGTCTGAGATTGCAGTTACCTGAAATGATGTGAAAATCAAAACAAACAAAAATCTTACTGTTTATTGTACCGAAATCCTATTGATATGTCACTTACATAATCATTTGGAACACAGTGTATGTACCTCACATTAAACTCTGGAACTTCTTCAGAACACTTGGACTTTGACTTTATGGTGCTGTATAATGTTTTTGTGCTTTCATGGGGCTTAAAAATAACACAGAATAGTATACGCACAATATCGGATTTGGATTGGTCTCGTCTGACCGATACCGGATCTGGCAGAAAATGCCAGTATCGGAGCCGATACCGATTCTGAGTATCGGATCGATGCATCCCTAGTCGCAACACAATTAAAACAAGCCGCAACACAACAGAATTACCAAAACACAATGGAAACAAGTCACAACACCTAAAAATTAGCACAACACAATTAAATTAGTCCTATGCGTTGTGCTGTGGCAATTTTGTTGTGTGTGTTGTGGAGATTGCATAGTGTTGTGCACTACTGGGCCACCATAGCTAAGAATGTTTAGCACTGAAATATGTTTAGATGGGCAATCGTATTTAGCTTCAGGTGCTGGTCATGAACGTGTAGTGACAAGTGACTGTAATGTGCTGCATATGTAATCGTCAAAAATGACTTTTCTAGCAGATGTTTCAATGACATTGAGCTATGACTTATATTAGATTATGTAGATAATTCAATGAAAATTCATTGGTTTTCATCTAATCAGGGTCTGCATGTATTCACACAAGCTGTTTTGTGTTGTTGATGGCTTGTGAGTAAAATACATAAATTACTGGTCAGAGGCGCCTCCAAAAAATAAGAAGTGACTAAGCCATTACAGCATAAGCAGCAGACACACATATTGCATGCAGTCGTTTTAATGTTAATTATTTCGTTTGCAAAAAGAGTTATAGTGCTAGTGACTCAGACCCATTTTTATCCCCTTCCCTCAGAGCTGGTAAGCTTGGTCGTTCTGAGCTGGAGAAGTTAAAAAAAAAATACTTCATTGCATCAGAAGTGCAATAAATAGCAAATGTGGACTAAGCTCTCGTAAACTATTCATACCTCCTCATACATCTGTTTCTTTCTCTCTCCCTCCCTCTTCAGGTCTGTCTGTCTTTGTGCTTGTAGAGCTTGTTGAGCCAAATCTGAGATTTGGTAAATACTGCAAGTATGAGCTTACGTTTCTTTGTCAGACAACTTTGTTTTCTTCTCAGCTTATGCGATTAATGCTCACTACAATAAAGAAGCTGCACTACTGTGCTTGTCTTATCGGAGTAATTAACACTAATTCGGACAATCTAACAATCTATCTTGGTTCATCTAAGCCTTAGGGCAGGTGGGTTGTCGTTGAGCAAATCATACAGAGGGGAAAATATATATATATATATATACACACAAATATAAATGTTTTGTATGGATCTTTTTCATATGTGGATGATTACACATGCTAATTACTTTGAAACTGGTGTGTTTTATGTCTGTCTGTGTTTGTTTTGTTGATGTGTTGTTGGTTTACTTCTGCAGTTTTAAATTGACTCCATGTGGTTGTGAAATATGCTTGTACTTAATGGTTTTTCTTTCCTCTTCTCTAGGTTAAAACAATAGTTTACTCTAAAATGAAATACTATCAGCATTTTGTTGTTTTAATCCCTAATGACATTGTTTCTTCTGTAAAAAGCGCAACAGGCGAATTTCTGAGGACTGTGATGGTCGCTAGATGTAGTTACAATGAATGGGGCCTAAAGCTTTCGAGCTTTAAAAAAAGACCTACAATTCTGTTCATCACACTAAGTTATCGAATGGTTTCCGATTTCTTGGAATATAGCGCATGAGTCACTTGAACCACTTTTATGGTGCTTTGTTGAAGCTTGAAAGCCTTGGTTCTTTGTAATGGCATGCTTTGCTTTAGTGTTCCACTGAGAAAGAGAGAAGAAAGCGAACTACACTCAATAAATCCTGTCTTCTCTTCAATATTACAGGTTTACTGGTCCAAACCTGCCATCACCCATCATCAGCAGCAAAAACTGGCTGAGACTCCACTTCACATCCGATGGAAACCACAAACTGAAAGGCTTCAGTGCTCAGTATCAAGGTAAGAGATGGGCTGTCGTGGGACTGGTGCCTTGTGTCTATGTAACAAGACATTGAAACAGCTCAGGGGTTCTAGCTGTCAAGACTGAAAGAGGCTGAAAAGGAAGAGTTGGAGAAAGCGAAAGGCTAGAGATATGCCTGACCTTATTTACAACACGATCTACAGAGCATCCTGCTCTTTGCAAGTTTTTTTTTTTTGTATTTATTATTTTAATGAATCAATGAATGAATGTTATCTAAAGAAAAGGTTTGATTTATTGTATACCATATACAATTTCTTTATATAATTACATAATAGCTTTTTTTAACCAAATTTTAATAATCCAATATGAATTCTTTCTTGAGGTTCTTTCAGCCTTTTATTAAAAAAAAGTTAAGTCATTGACATTAGAACATGAGTGTTAACACACTTTACCATATATAAATATGTTTGATAGAGTTTTTCCCCATAATCAGTGCATAAAACCTGCGAAAAAGTGCAGAGATTCACTGGAGGTCTACTGCAACTGCTCTCAGTAGTCATTGTGTACCCTGCAGAGTTTTCCCCCTGTCTGCAGTTAGAATTAAAGTCATATTATTTGAATCATCTTGGTTAAGTGTTATTAAGTCTGTTAAAGGTCATGGATACCCCCAACTCCTGACACACACACACACACCAGCTGAGCTACTAGCGGCACTCTCATCACACTCAAGTTCAAAGGTCACCACTCAAAGGAGATGAGCAGAGGGACGGGATTAGTCAGCTCAGCTACGGGAAACAATGACGGAATCTGCAGGAATTTCACCTCCTCCATAAGCAGATCAGAGCGATGGGATGGGATTACAGGGCTGGAGTTTGATAAATAAATACTTTTAGAGTATCAGGAAGAAAGAAAGGGGAGCTAAGCTCTTAATTAGATTTCACACTGACCTCTCTCCTTTTACCGTATCTTACCTCCCTTCCTCTCTCAACATTTAGTGAAATGCTCTGGAATGAGTAACGTCCAATGAGAAGACACTCTTTACATAACAAGCTACTTTGCTTCCTTTCAGTCTTTTTTCAACTCTGTCCGAGATTAGGAATGGAGAAGAGAGGGTAAAGCGATTTTAGAGAAATACATTTTCATAGTCTTAGGGTTTTACAGTTAATGTCCCAAATGGAGCCAATAATAACAAAATGTTGATCTAATACACTCTGATGTTTGGATATTTTTTGGCAACATACTTGTGTGCATCTGTCTTGTCACCAATTCTATACTATTTTGGTCATTTATACTATTTTAAGGTTCCACCAACTTGACTTGAAAATATAAGGCATTTTGTTTTGTTTTCCAGATCTGTAAATTGAGAGCCCTCATAAACGAATAAAAATAAATGAATTAATAAAAAAATTATATAATATATATATATATATATATATATATATATATATATATAGTGAAATAAGTAAAATACATCATATATTTTGTTTGGCAGTCAGAGTTGAAAATACTTTTTGCAACCTGTTTTAAAACATTTATTTTGCCATTCTGTTGGCAAAAATAGAAGGAAAAAAAAGAGACACACTTCACCTTTTAAGTAGTTGTGAATATTATTTAATCAATTTTCTTGATTTTAATTGACTTGTTATTATTTGGTTTTGCTGAAACAGCTGATTGTGAATGGTAAATATCTCGATTACAAATGCTTACCCAAATGCTGAGTTTCTTTTGAGAGCATTTAAGTGCCGAAGCTTTGAGACAATGTAACAGAAAACAATGACTGACTGTATGTGTATGCGTATGAATGCGTGCTGGCATTATTTTGTTGCTTTTTCAACAAACATGCTGCACTTTGTTCACACACAATAGGCTTTTTTGCACAAGAATGACAGCTTCTTTGAAAGACTGTAATTGCAATTACAATGCGGTTCATGATTTGTAATGCCTAGCAAGCATCTGTCCTATGATTATAGTTTTATCAGCTTTTTCTAATCCTTCCTGCTCTCAAATAAACATGTTATAATTCTTTTGACTTCCAGTGAAGAAGATGACAGAACTGAAGTCCAGAGGGGTGAAGATGCTGCCAAGTAAAGACAACCACAGCAAGATATCAGTTTGTAAGTCAACCTTTCCATGCACATGAAGGACATTTTCCTAAATCAACTTTACGTTTACATTCATGCACTTGGCAGATGCTTTTATCCAAAGCGATTTGCCTACAAGGTAAACTTTATCAGTTCATGCACTCCCTGGGAGTTGAACCCATGACCTTGGCAGTGCTAGTCTACTGTTTGAGCTACAGGGATGCTATATCTCAGTTGGTTTAATTTTATGTAATGATAACAGTATGTACTACATACATTTTGCTGAAAAAAAATCACCATTACAGTGTAATTGAGAGCTGTCAATTTTAACATTTGTTAAAAATGACTTAAAAAAAGTAACGGCTTCTAATTTAAGTGAACTTAAAAACAATCTTCACATAAACCCATTATAATAAATGGGTTTAGCTACATATTTAGCTACATGTGCCCTTCAGCAAGTTGGAAATATACAGAAATTTTAATAAAGTTATCAAACACTAATTTCTAAATTAAATATAGATGAATCCTTAAAGCTACAACAGTTATTGATTTCTATTTTTTTTTGTTCTTTGATTAACAGACATCAAAGCAGCTGGGTTATTAGGTTTTTTGGCTGCTATTACTTTAAGAGCTGCCGCCACTGAACATGACGCGGATCTGACACGCATCGTATTTTCTCACAGTGCGCTGGTGCATTTGTGTGTGCAATTGAAGAGCATGCGCTGCGAGCACAGTTTAACGGCTGACAGGACAGGAAAATACATTTTTACTGTACATATGGCCTGACAACATCTCATCTGACTGCAGTTCACTGTGGTTCTACTAAAGCTCCTCGTCACCTATACCGTTTCTGCGCTCATTTTGACTCGCACCTGGTGAAGTGGAGTGTGCGTCTGAAAAGTATCATGTTTTATGTAGTCATAAAGACGTTCTGTCTAAATAAACACAATTCTTGTCAAGAAAAAAGAGTGGGGTGGCCAACTAGCTCCACCTCTTCGTTAAATATTTTTAAAGTCGTTGAAGTGAAAAGCAAGTATGAGTGAACCAAAACAAAACATTCACAACTGGAATCTTTTTTTATCTTAAAATATATATCAATTTACATCCAAATCTTTTTTTTTTCAACTCTGTTGAAAATGTTAAGGTTTTTAAGCATTGTCAGCATGCAGATTGTCCACTCATTGGTGAAAGCAGTGGCACTTGCAGCATGTCCTCATGCTCGGCACAAGCACACAACCTTGAACATTAGCGTTATCTTTATTCTACGCCGTGTCAATTGGAAACAAATGGAGCTATTTTTCTCCCTAAGGCCAGAGGGGAAGGAAAATAAGTAACCGTTTCCATTGTTGGCAAACAGAGAAAGAAAAAGCTTATCGAGGAGGGGTAATTGCACTGTGTGCTGAGAGGCTTCTTCAGCCTGCTTTCTTCTGTTATGCCGTCTTTATTTACATTTCTATTACCGCTGCATCATTGTGAGAAAATGTCAGCCGCCTGCCCATGTGAGCATGTGCCCATTGAGGGTGTCATCAGGGATCCCAGTACCATCACCGTGGCTGGCAGTGTCTCAACGGCAGCGCTGACAAGTTTGGCCTTTTGTCCCACATCAATATGCATGAGTGCCGGCACCCAGGCGCGCCTCGGCCAATCAACATGTGTCACTTCAGGTTTTCCCTTCACTATCCTCTCCTGCCTCCTAGCTACCTATTGCAGAAAGCGAGGCTGTGGCCAACCTCCTTGACCCTGAGTGTCATATCCACTTCCTGCGGGGCTGGATGAGCTTGTGTGTTTTGATGCCAGAGAAAATTTTGTGCTCGCATAATGATGTCTGAAAATATCTTGGCATTCTGAGGAGGGCTTGATTGACTCTTTTGTTCATTTAATAAACCTCCTGGGCAGGCTGTGTAGACGTTCAAATACACTTATAGATAGCCTTGCTCTCTTCACAAGGTAAATCCATGCTGATGTTCAGACCAACTGCACAGTTGCAATTGTGATGCTGCTTTTATGCAGCAGGTCAATAATCCAGATGGTAATCTTGAGTATCTTAGATTTTAGGCAGAATTTGGCCTTTTTCCCCCCAACAAAAATAGTAGGGCAATATGAAAGAAGAAGCCCTTTAAGAACAGTGTTTTTATTAGGTTTAGCAATTATGTTGCATCTTTCATTATAGGGACTTAAATTGAAACATGAGCGATTTTCTTCACCTAAATTCCAGGAGGTCGTAAATATATCGGGTGTCAGGGTTACCATGGAACCAGGGGCCTGTTCGGCTTTCTGGGGTGTTACAGAGTATTTGTTAAATCTAGCTAACAAAATATATATTGTGTGTTTGAGTGGTCCAGACGCTACAATAATTTAGTTCATATTGCACAAAATTGAAAATTATGAAAAAGGGTAGGAATGGCACCCTACCTAGGTCAAGAACCACCTTGGAGTAAACTCATCCTCACTGTCATCTTTTTTTTTCCTCTCCAGAATATGTAAAATGTACTATTTGTATTCCTTTGTAATTTTTTTTTTCAAACGGCATGATTGCAAAACATTAAATAAAATAAGTATTAGGAATTCTGTGAATATTATATGAAAATGTATGAATTTAGAAAATTAAGTTAAACAGTAATAAATCAGTTAACTCATTAAAATATGCACATCTGAATTATACTATATAATTATATGAATTATGTATAGGCCTATATTTTGAATTGAAGGGATGTCACGATAGCAATAAACTATGAATTCATTTTGAATGGTTCCACTCAATTGGCCTCAATTAGGTTATGATGAATAATAAAAATGGTTAAAATGTACATCTAAATCATAATAATTTCATGAATTAAAATACTTAACAAAGATGCTCAGAGTGAAGACCAAATTGTAAAATTATTATTACTAATATTTTTATTTATTTATTTTTACCTACATGATATTTGTCAATTAACCATCATCAAAGGAATATGCACATGCAAATACATTGTTAAATTATTGAAATATAAACGTTTTACGTCAAAGGGGTTCAACTGACAAAAAAGTTTGTGAAACCCTGTTATTTAACAAGTATTTGACTTAAACTGTTCACTAAAAAACTATATTTGTCATCATATGAATAAACCTCACAAATGTTGAGTCAAGATTCATAAAAGTATAACCATTAAATATGTGTTTTTTTTATGACATCCATGTTTAAGAGAAAAATGAAAAGCAGGGCTGTTGGGGTTTTTTTTCTCCCGTTTTGTCATTTGCAGTATCACAGATGGGGGTGGCGCAAGGACACAACATGTGTCCAGACCCAGGAATCCCAGAGAGGGGCAAAAGAAAAGGCTCTGATTTCAGGTGAGAAATGAGTTTATGGATTACTTATTAAAATAGTCCACTGAGAGGACATGGAGGAGAGAGGGAAGAGGAGTGCAGTTAATTTAGTGTTTGTAATGCCAGGATGATGAATAGCAAGAGATGCAGGAGGTGGGCACCTGTTTAATTTCTCATTGGCCTTTTAATTCTCAGGGCTCAGGGAGGATATTTGATCAGCATAAACATGGGCTGTGGGCTCCCAAAGGTCACAACAAGAGGGGAAGGAGAGATAGTGAGAGAGAGACGTGGAAAGAAAGAGAGGAAGGTTATTCAGTCCCTTATGTATAAAAACATGTGGTTATGCTGTATTTACATAAAAAAATAAGGATAATATCCCCTTTTTATATTTACATTTATCAATAATGATGAATGGTGGATCAGCATAAACATGGGCTGTGGGCTCCCAAAGGTCACAACAAGAGGGGAAGGAGAGATAGTGAGAGAGATGTACTGACCCTCGTGTCTTTCCAAACCTGTATGACTTTCAGTCTTCTGTGGAACTACAAAAAAAAAAAATGTTTGTCTCACCATTACAATGATGTCACTTCCTGGAGTGTGATGTCATTAAGAATTTTGCTGTTAGTTAAAGGGATATTGCAAAAGACTAAAAGGGATAGTTAACACAAAATTGAAAGTTTTGTCACACGTACTGACCCTCGTGTCTTTCCAAACCTGTATGACTTTCAGTCTTCTGTGGAACTACTTCTCTTTCTCTCTCTCTCTCTCTCTCTCTCTCTCTCGCTCTCTCTCTCGCTCTCTCTCTCTCTGTGTGTGTGTGTGTGTGTGTGTGTGTGTGTGTGTGTGTGTGTGTGTGTAACCAAAACATTTTGGTTCCTATTGACTTTTGTTATATGGACCAAAAAATATTAATAATAAATAAATAAACAAATGAACAAATAAACTGTTTGGTTACATTCTTCAAAATAGCTTATTGTATGTGCTGCAGAAGAAAGTAAGTCATACAAGAGGGTGAATGAATGATGACAGCTTTTTTCTTTCTTTTTTTGGTGAACTATCCCTTTAACAGAATAAAACTGAAATCGAGGACAGTGAAACAACTTTTATTAAATTTATTAAATTAAAACTATATTTACAAGACAGCATGTCAGAGAAAGGGGAGAAATGAAGAAAAAACACCTGCAATATGTGAGATGTTGGGAAATACAAATACCTAAACCAAAATAGTAAAATGAATCAAAATGCGCTGCTTTATTTACCTAATTGTGATGCTAACTCTCTAATATGATTTCAATCTTAAAACATTGTCTTGAAACGATAGCTCACCCAAAAATTAAAAGTATGTCATTAATTACCCAACCTCATGTCGTTCCGAAGCCGTAAGACCTTTGTTTATCTTCGGAACACAAATTAAATCCGAATAAATAAAAATAAAATCCGAGAGCTTTCTTTGCACACAAAAAGTATACTTGTAGCTTCATAAAATTAAGGTTGAATCACTGATGTCACATGGACTATTTTATCGATGTTCTACCTTTCTGGGCCTTGAACGTGGTAGGGTAGGTATGCAGGGTCAAAAAGCTCTCGGGTTTCATCAAAAAAAAAATCTTAGTGTTCCAAAGATGAATGTCTTATGGGTTTGTAATGAGGGTGAGAAATGACAGAATTTTCATTTTTGGGTGAACTATCCCTTTAAAACATGTCATTCAATATATTAAGACATAAATGAAGGGGGCAGTAGGAATGCCCTGGGATAACCATCATTTATGATTGAAAAAGAGGACAGAGAGGGAAGGAGATTGAAAATGAGACAGAGGTCCGGACCTATTTAATTGAGTGGGGACAGAGCAATAGTAGTGTCATTTCCAGGCACAGTGCTGCTACATAGCAGCCTGCGGTGCAAGTTACGCTGTCAGCGTCCCCCCGCAGGGTAAATGGCAGCGCCCCAGAGGATTCTAACACAGATAAATGAGGACAATCCGTTTTACACTCACTAGCTCTCAGGGCAATCGCAGCGGGGAAGTAAAAGACAATCGAAACTTTTTTTACTGGAATGTTCTTAGCTCCGGCTACCTGAGCACCCCTTCATCAGCGGCTAGGTAATGGAAGCGCACAGCCATGCATCTGGAAGTGTACATCACAGTTTCCCAAAGGCTGTCCATTACCGAGATCAGACAGGACCACTGCTGCCGGGCAGGAGAGAGGGGGTATTTATGCTGACATGCTATTTGATTTAGCCATGAACAGATACCAGCTCACATGAGAGATGTTGAGAACTTCTGTGAAAGGCTTGAGTCGTCCGGCATCAGAGTTTTGCACAGTTGGAAAAGAAAGCAGGGAATGATGTGTTTCCCCTCTCTTTCTTTTCCAAAGGAGATGAATAGAATTATATATGAAACCCAGTTGAATCTGATTCATCAATCGCATCATTCTGCATTCAGATAACGGCGTACAATGACTGATAAACTGCATAATTGATCATTATCCCTGACTATCAATCTCCTGTGCTAGTTTCATGTCTCTTGTAGCACTGCTTTCTTTCTCACAAAATGCAATCATTTCAACTAATATTAATATTTCATGTCAATTTATTTATTCATTTGCCAAGCAGCTGTGTAATAAGTAGAGTAATGTGCAGCCAGCCAGTCATTATCGCTAAATAAACTTCCACATCGGGGGCCTGTCAAGATTTATTTTGCCATAATGACCGACTGACTGTACATAATGTACATAATGTCGAATTTCTAGATGTATGGGTTGGTATTCTTGCAAAATAATAGTATTTTCCTCTTGCAGGCGGGGTGCTACTGTGCACTTTTCTTGTGACGAAGGTTACGAGCTTCAGGGGTCTAAAAGCATCACCTGCCTGCGAGTTACGGACAGTTATGTTGGTTGGAGTGATGACCGGCCTATCTGCAGAGGTATGCCACTGTGGAAACATCTTTTATTTATTTATTTATTTTTTTTCCTGCAGGTTTTACCTTTGTTCAAAATTGTTCACAAGGTAATCAAATTATTAAACATGTTTTATTAAAATGTTTTGTTTTGTTTGATTTTGTTACACAATCCAACCATTTTGGCACCTACCTAATTTAGTTATCTTGTATAAAGTGACAGGTTTTGAATTTACACACACACACAAAATATAGATTTTAGGCTGAACAGATCAAGGCCTATGACGTCAATGATAGAATGTATGGATAGCATTTTTTCCTTCCTTTTAAAAGTTGGTAGGCCTATTTTTTTTCTCTTTGTATCATGATATTATGGTTAGATGCATTTTATCATTTTCATTTTGCATTGCTTATTTCCTGCTGTTCATGACCCCATCAGAACAAACTAGAACCTCTGAACTAAATGAACTAATGCAAATTAACCCCATTCATGTGCCCTAATAAAGTCTCATGCCGTATTTACAACAAACAAATTTATCACAGCAGATTTAAGCCCTTTTGTTTAACAACTGGTTGAATTATTTGAAATCTCAGCGTAACGTTAAAGGGCCTTGATTAATGACCTGACAATGAAAGAGGACAATGAGGGAAAAAAGCAAGAGATGAGAGAGAGGAAATGGAGAGGATAACAACAGATCTCTAAAGCAGATTTCCTAAGGAGGAAGAGATGTTATCGCATTGCTTATTTCCTGCTGTTCATGACCCCATCAGAACAAACTAGAACCTCTGAACTAAATGAACTAATGCAAATTAACCCCATTCATGTGCCCTAATAAAGTCTCATGCCGTATTTACAACAAACAAATTTATCACAGCAGATTTAAGCCCTTTTGTTTAACAACTGGTTGAATTATTTGAAATCTCAGCGTAACGTTAAAGGGCCTTGATTAATGACCTGACAATGAAAGAGGACAATGAGGGAAAAAAAGCAAGAGATGAGAGAGAGGAAATGGAGAGGATAACAACAGATCTCTAAAGCAGATTTCCTAAGGAGGAAGAGATGTTATCACTCAGCCAGTAATCAGCTTATTTAGCCTCACCAGGCACCGATTAATTACTTTATTGAGCCTTACTTAATTTCTGACTTTGATTTGCTAGGACAGCCCCCAGGACTTCATTCCTGTAGCAACTGTCACATCCCCAGAGCGATGCTGTCCACCATACTGCCACCTTTGCCTTATGCCGTAAATTGAACTGCGAGTCTGGCATTTAGTTGTGGTACCAACGCCATGCATCTTAACTACATGCAGCACAACCTGTCAGTGGCATGGTACCGTAAGAGAATATATACGATGGGGTCCAAAGCTGGAAATAAAAAAGTATTTGTTTATCACTGTATATATTTTTTAGTTATATTTATTGTATGTTATATAGTTATATTTAGTGGTATTTTTGTATTATATAATTTATTATTATTATTATTGATAATATAAAATTATTATAATTTATTACATACATTAAAAAAAATAACACAAAAAACTGTTAAAAAATGTGGTGTCAGTAATATTTTTCATTTATTTGTTTGTTTTGGAAATAAATAAAGGTTTATTATCTATCAAGGATAGTGGTCGACCGATATATCGACAAGGCCAATATATCGGCCAATATTTGGCATTTTTTAAATATCGGCATCGGCCGATAAGTTTTCCTGTTTGGCCGATGCGTTCGACAGCGGCAGCGCCTGAGCACACAGTGCTCACATTCTCCCTCTTGTTCGCTGTTGTCGTTAACAGTTCTGTCTAATGTGGACAGAAATCTGTCTAATAATCAGATAGAACGGTTAAACAAAGGAATTAAAATTTATACAAAGTATTATAACGATTGCTTTGCATATTATTAGTAATAGAAAGGCAAACATTATAATACTTTCTTGTTTGCCATCAGCATTTAGCAAATACGCATTTATATAATTTAAACAAATCTTTGAATGAGTAATGAACATTTAATTTCACAAAGCTTGCAAACTTAGTCGGATCCAGTTGTGAGATCTTGTGAAGTGTGCCTTTGTATCCTGCACGATCGCGTGTTCTCTGCATGATGTTCGATCCGTGCGCATGTAATGCCTGAATAGCTTCACTAGAGATGCGCGATCGACAAACTTTAAACTTGTGATTTCAAATCATGCTGTGCTTTATGCATTTGCCCACTGCCATATTCATGTCATTTCCACTGTGTGCTGTATGTAAAACGAGTGTTACCTTAGCTTTATTTGGAAAAAAAATATGATTCCCGAATCCCAATGCACACAAACTTTCCAGAATACTGAGTCCCCTGTTGGTTACAGTGTTTACTTACTTTTTTATATGTTTTTTATTAAGTATTTATTTATTTGTGAAAAATACTTTGTCATCTAAAACAATGTTTCCCAACCGGGGTGCCGTGTAAAAAATCCTTTTTTAATATTTTTAAATTGCTAAAATGTAAAAAAAAAAAAGGATCTATTATATAATATCCATTTCTGATGTCGCCAATAATTAGAGATGCACCGAAATTCCGGCTGCCGAAAATTTGTTTCACTTTCACGTGGTGTGACGCTCTGTGTATTATCCCGCTCTATGCGTGTGCGCTCCGCTCAGTCGCTCCACTCGTATACCGTTCATGCTCATCGGAACAGCAAAGTCCACTCGAAAAACGAGCCGACAGGAAACATCGATGTAGTACAGTATTGTTTCTGTCTGCAATAGCCCTACTGTGTTGTAACATGGTGTGGTATATGGGCATCTCTGGTAACGCTGCCCTCTCATTCATTGATCTGCTAACCGCATGTAATGTTCACGTGTTTTGATAATAATAGCTTTCTAGGACTAAACATTATTTGGATAATTGGTAAAAAAAAATTATAATCTTTTAATAGCCCTAGTGTTAGACCTGAAAAACTAAAAAGCAATTTATTTCATTTGTAGGCCTGTTGTTATTTTTTATTTGTGCTATCATTATTAATTTCTTTATTTGTTCTTATTTTATTACTGACTGTTTACTTGTCATTTTTTATTCATTTCAAAGTTTGAAATCAAGCTATCTCGTGCTACTGCAACAAAATTACCCAACTGTAAAATAAAAAATACACAGAGTGAGCAAAAATTTGTGAGATAGTTTAAGTTATAATGGTAATTAAACAATGTTTTCATATGAATAAAAGCCTACATTAAAATCTGTCATATAAATTGGTCTCCTCATTAGAAATTAGCCTACCGATTGCCTCCATGGATAAAAAAAATAATAATATTAAAAATATCTGACACACATATACATATATATGACACATTCTGCAGTCTTCCCTGCTGTACCGAATATTGATACTTTTCAAAGTATCATATCGAAGTTAGAAATTCAAATATTGTGACAAAATTAATTTTGTAGGGTGCCACAAAGTTGTTAAAATTTCCAAAGGGTGCCGCGACTAAAAAAAAGGTTGGGAAACACTGATCTAAAGTATGTTTATTTAACACATTTACTTTTTAATTCATTTCAAATTTATTAAACATTAATTAAAATAAATACAATTATATCGGCTTTATATCAGCCATCGGCCATCGGCCACCCTGCTTTCCAAGATATTGGCATCGACATCGACTGTCAAAAAAACAATATCGGTCTACCACTAATCAAGGATGCATTAAATTGCAAAATGTTGTTCTTTTGAACTTTCTATTCATCAAAGAATCCTGAATAAATGTACCATGGCTTCCTCAAATATTTTAAAAAGCTCAACTGTTTTCATCATTGATGTTTCTTAAGCAGTAAATCAGCATATTAGAATGATCTGGAGAAATTATGCTGAAAATTCAGCTTTAACATCACAGGAATAAATTACATGTTAAATTATATTACAATAGAAAATAGTTATTTTAAATTTTAATAATATTTCACAATATTGAATATTAAAAAATTGATTGATTGATTGTTGAAAAACATAATACATAATATGTGCGTTTTGTTAGTATGCATTTACATCTTACCCAGAGATAAGAACTACTTGTGTTATCATAGAGAGTTTTTTTAAGATGTCATTTGAGTAATAAACGTTGTTTTAATATATTATTTGGAGCATTCAGGCTGTCCTACAGAACACAGCTTCTCTTACTGTAGCTCCACACCAACAGGCTCACACACATAAAGCGTTAGTTTCACCTGCTCACTTCTACTTCATATCGATGAATTTCTCCTGAGCTGCTTGGCCAGCTGTGGACTATTAGTCTTTCATTAGAGTTACATATCCTGTCTCTTAACACCACCAGTGTGGCATTTGCCACCATGGACCCCTCAAGGCTTGACAATCTTCGGGAGAAAGTTAGTTGGACAGCTTTGTGATGGATTGCACCAGTTGCCTTTGTTTTTGATTATTTAACGATCAGTTTTTGGCACATCATTGTGGGCTTGTGGAAAGAGGGAAAATGGACCTGGAATTGGGAAACTGTCGGAATCACCAGATGGACCAAGTTCCCTTATCAGCCCCATTACTCATGTGAAAAGGGTTGATATTTAGCTATTGCTCCCCAGAACCTGTTTCTTCATCACTTGCTCCTTTTCACCACTAATGTAGAGAATGATTATTTGTCTTGTTTCATTGATTTAACAGTCTAAATGCCAGGCCATTATTCAAAACTGGTCCATTTTAATTGCATGCTCCAGGAAAATCTGAATCATAAGAATAATTAGTAATGGCGCCACAGAAAAAGTTCATAAATCATTGTCGCTAAATACATAAATACTAGCATAAAAAGTTCAATAATAATAGTGCGTCCTTGAGGTTTTCCCTCTCTCTCTATGTGTAGAAATGTTGTTTCCGTGATTTGCAGGATTTTAAAGGATCTGGGACTTGCACAAGAAATCTATAAAATACATTTGTGTCTTTTGTATTGGCTATTTAGAAGTCAAATCAATCTTCAATCCTTAATAGAACCTGAAATACACAATATATCAAGAGCAATGAGTTTTGTTTGTTGAATATTGAAGTCTTAATGGCCATTTAATGCTGATTGTTGGTGCAGTGGCTTGAAGTAACTCTTTGAACTGAATCACTGTCTATTTTTTTTTAACTCCCCAGTATTTCATTTAGTTTATCACAGACTTTTTCTGACACTTGATATGTGCATTGGAAAATCCAGGGTCTTGGAACTGTTAGCCTGAATCTAATTTGATCAAATTCAGCCTGAATTAGGTGAACTTTAAATAATTATCTTATTGCAGCACTGTCCTTTCAACTTAAATGCACTTGGACTGTTTCACAGCTGAGCCCCTGCTAATACTGTAGATATCTTCTGCTAATAGTGTGGTTATTATGTTGGCGAGTATGTTGGTTCATTTTTGATTTTGAGTTATAATCCCTGCAGTCCCTTCAACATTATCTTGGTACCAAGTTCCTTGAGACCAACTCTCAGAATGTTCACTTTTTGTGTGTTTTATTTTATAACCCTTAACTAACATTTCCAAAACATTGCAGGGAGGTTATTTTACATGACAGCCTAATAAGAACTTATACAGAATGTTAATGTTTTTTTGTTTGTTTGTTTTATTTTTATAACCATTAACTAACATTTCCAGAACTCCAGATGTTGTGTGTGGGTGGGTGTGACAATCTAATAATACCTTGAAATGTGATCTAATGGTCATTTTTGTTTTATGTTATAGACAATAACTTTAAATTTCCAAAATGTTGCAGTTATATTCCATGTTTCATTTAATTTGCCATAAACTAATATTTCCAGAACTTTGCAGGTAAGCTTCTGTGTGACAACTAAATGCGAACTTACATGGAATGATGCAGTTAAATTATGCTTTTTTTAGAATGTGATCTAATGTTGTTGTTTTTTTGTTTCATTTTTTTTTTACCAAAAATGTACATTTCCATAATGTTGCAGAAAAGTATGTGTGGCAACCAAATAAGAACTTCTTTACAATGTTATCTAATGGTTATTTTTATTGGTCACCCTTCTTTTTAAGATCCATTTTAACTAACTATTAACTACAAAATTTGCCTCAATCAACTCATAATTACTGATTATTAATAGTTAGTAGGATAGTTGTTAAGTTTAGGTATTGGGTAGGATTAAGGAATGTAGAATATGATCATGCAAAATATGTGCTTTATAAGTACTAATATTTTTACACTAGTTTTATACTAGTATTTTATAACCTCATAGTATAATCATACGTGCCCAAAATATTAGTTAGGAGGATCCCAGAAGTTCTCTCATTGAGAATTTCTTAGACCCCAATATGTATGATGATTTACAAAAATACTATCAAAGATTGTGCGTTATTAGCAAACCTAAAGCTGCAGACAACACACATTATGTTGTGAAGGTGAAAATTGGGGTCAGCCGGCTCTGATGTTAATTAACTTTCCAAAGACTTTTGTTCTTTAATGTCAGCCCACCTTAAAGTGTTTGAGGAAACTTTGCGAGTGTGTGTGTGTGTGGCAGGGGAGGCCCTGAGGAGCTCACCTCAGACATAGCTCATTAAAAGCTCCAGCTGGTCCCAGACCTGCAGAAACATTCGTTTAGTGCAAACACGCTGGCTGTGCCCTCCCTTCTCATTAGACATCAAGTGCTTTCATTCGACAAGGTATTTCAAGTCCTCCTGGAGGCCACGAGAGTGTCGCTTTAACTCCGAGAAAAGTCACAGAAAAGTCAAGCACTCAACAAGTCATCGGTAAGGTCATTGAACATTCAGGTCACACGCCGGTCCAATCAAAACCAACAAATCGAGATAGGTAACAATAATCACGTGCGAAATATTGACTGCAGCCGAAGGCTAAGCCTGTATATGTGTGCTTTTTTAATAATTTAAGATTTTGTTACATTCCGTCTGTAGGCCCACAACCCAATCACAACCTTTGAAAGTGGTATGGATAGGGTATAGTATGAGTGATATCTAGAAAAATAGTTATTGTGAGTCTGTCTGTTGAACTCAACAGTGTTTGTGGTCCTCTTGCTTTTCGTTTTAGGTTTACTCTATAGTGACTAAACTAATCTAAAACTTTTCCTGGAGCTAAACTAAACTTAACTTAACAACTTTTAATATTTTATTTTAGAAAATATATTTCATATTTTGTCATATTCTGTCTGACAGTAATGACATGTCAATAGATGGAGCTGAAAATCAGTTTAAAACCACCTTGTAGTCTTGTAGTTAATTCTTTATTCATTCAGTTGATTTATAGATTTGCAAACAGTTATTAGAAGTATTTGACATTGCTACATATTATTTTTGTATCTGACAACAAGAGAACACAACTCAACATATTTAGTCAAAAATATAATTCCTCTGTAAAAAAAACTTTTTTTGTAGCTGTTTTTTTTCCTATGTTTGAAGTATCAGTGACTTTCAATATAGTGCAATAACATTTCTTTCTATTCTGTTGTTCAGATAACTGTTACTGTGATATTTGGTGCTGAAGTGGTCTTTCTCTCTTTTTTTTCCTCTTAAAAGCCTCACGTCTTTCATAGATGAGATGTTTCACTCCTTGAAGAGTCAAACTGCATGATTTGTCTCTCTTCTTTCAGCTCCTATGTGTGGCGGTCAGCTCCGTGGCCCGAGTGGCATTATCACCTCCCCAAACTTCCCAGTACAGTATGACAACAACGCTAACTGCACATGGATCATCACAACTTCGGACCCTTCCAAGGTAAATGCTTCCAAAAAACATACCTAGTGTATTCATATGAGCTCTGCACACTGCGGAAGCATACATAGCTTCACACTTGAGTATTAGAGAATGTCATTTGAAGTGAAATAATGATTAGGCCCAGGCAAAACCCATAGACTTTTTTTTTCGCCTTTTCTGTTCTGATTTAATGGTCAAATCTGATTTAAACACGATAAAATGCACACTAGCATTCAAAAGATTGGGGTCAGTGAGTTTAAAGAAGTGTCTTAAGCTTACCATGGAATCATTTATTTGATCAGTAAAAAAGAATAGTATTATGTAATAGTATTATACCTTAAAAGTATTGTTTTTCTATTTGAATATTTTTAAAATGTAATTAATGTGATGATAAAGCTGAATTTCAGCAGCAATTACTCCAGTCTTCTGTGTTACAAGATCCTTCAGAAATTATTCTAATATGCTGATTTGATGCTCAGTAAACATGTTTTTGTAACATTATAAGTGTCTTTACTGTCACTTTTAAACAATTTAATTAGTCTTTTCTGAATAAATTTAATTAAAAAAAAACAATTCTTACTCACCCCAAACTTTTGAATATTAGTGCACAACATAGAAGCTGTTGGAAACTGAAGGCGTTTTCAAATTCGCCAAAATATTTAATAAACACATACACAGGGGACAACTTTGTCAATTTTCCTAAGGAAATTTAAAGAGTTTTCTGTGGGCACAGTTTCCATGTGGGCCTGCTAGTAACTGCAGGTTGCAGGGGAAAGGATACACAGATATTGAGAGATGATGTTCAATATCCAGATATCTACACACTCATAAAAAAATTAACCACTGACGGTTATGCTAAAGGAAAATGGAAGATAACGAAAACTACATTCGAGCAGCTATACCACGGTAGAGACAAAAACTTGCGCTGTATGTGTCATGACTTTGTCGTCGAGTTCAAGGCCATTTTTTTACTCGCTTGCCAGATTTTCGTTATCTTGTTTCAAATAAATGGCTTTACAAATCTCTCCCCTCATCACCATGACTCAGTTGGGAGAGAAGGGGAGCGAGAGATGGAGGGCAAATGGAACGGGGTAGAGTGGCTCTATCAGTGCCCCCTGCTTTTTCTCTGCCGCCCAGTGTGCTATTTCATCCTGTGTGTAAAGGACATTTCTGCTTTACACTGTCATGGCTGGAGAGCGGGGCACAGATGAAGATGGAACATTGCTGTTTTTGCTCTTTACAACCAGAATGACATTCTATTTTCGTTCTGACACAATAGTACCCGGAAAAGACGTGAGGTTAGCTGTGAGACTGAAGCAGAACCGGGACCGTATGAAATGCACCTGACAATGAGCTTTTGATTTCACTGCAGCTGGTTTGCTGCCTGAGCCAAAGACTCTCCCAGTGTGGAGAGACCCCAGCAGCTGTTAAAGCCTTTAGCATCACAGTTAGCTAGAGTTTGAGATCATTTAGTATTTCTTGATGCATAATGAATATTTAAAGGGGAAGTATTTATTTTTTTGTGGTTGAAGCAATATATATATATATATATATAATACAAATATTTGTTATATATACTGTATATATATATATATATATATATAAATATTATTTTATTTTTATTTTTTGGGGTTGAGATGGGACCACATGCACTTAGCTGTTTAACAGAGGATTTAGCAGTCTGTCTGAACAAAGTTAAATGCTATAAAAATACTATTTTGCTATTAAATATGGTGACTTAAGGAGAACTATTAGACACCAAACCTCCTTGCCAAAACCTTTACTCATGTTTAGCTTTTCGGGAATTAGTTGAATATCTAATGACTTAAAGGGCATATAGGAATGTATGGGAAACCCTTTAAATTATTATTTTTTTCAGTTTTTATTGGTGCTGAAATTATCTACTTATGTACATGTACTATTGTTCAAAAGTTTAGGCCGGTAAGATTTTGTTTTTGAAATAAGTCTCTTATGCGCACCAAGAATGCATTTATTTGATTCAAAATACAGTTAAAACAGTAATATTGTGAAATATAAAATAACTGTTTTCAATTTTAATGTATTACAAGAATTTCAATCTATTCCTGTGATGGCACAGCTGAGTTTTCAACATCATTACTCTAGTCTTCAGTGTTACCTGATCCTTGTTGATTTGCTGCTCAAGAAACATTCATTAATATCAATGCTTATCGGTTGTGCTGTTTATAATTTTGTAGAAAACTATGATGCATTTTTTTAGGATTCTTTGATGCATACACTGTAAAAAGATTAATCATGGGTCTTGTGATTTTCATTTAGAAAATTAAGGTGATATTTAAAAATAGTGCGTATATTTTATTAAAGAAATTGTGGTTAAGTGTTGTATAGAAATTAGAAAATATTGAGAACAATTCACTAATAAAACCACAATGTGTTTCCTCATTTTTTAAGGAAACTTGAGCAGTTTTGAGGCTTGAACTGAGAACCTGATTAAGCTGAAAAAATTTATGAAAGAAGGCTACCTATTTATTTTAAGAGAATTGGCTCAATTATGCCATTTTATTTTGGCGGTGATTGTTAATTCCTAGCATGCTTTGTATATGGCTGGATATGGAGATTAAATATTACAATTAAGTGCTATTTTATGTTATTTTGAGTGAAGAGAAACATCTGTTCATGTTTAATGTTCAGTTCTCAAGCTTTTGCAACATTATAAATATATTTACTGTTACTTTTGATCAATTTAATGCATCTTTGCTAAATAAACTATTAATCTCTATCAATAATAATAATAATAATAATAATCTTGCTCATACCAGACTTTTAATAGTAGTGACTGAGATGTATGTACATTGCAAATTATGTACATACTATAGCATAATTTGGATGGGCCTTTAAAAGAACATGTGGTTTAAACCACAGGCCCTGTCATTTTATTCCAAACATGGTAAACATCTTATTTCCATCCTAAAATGCCATTAACACAAAAAAATACGTTGACATTTGGTGGATGAATTTAATAAACGACTGAAGCGCTTATATGAAGTGCAAGGGAAATGTAATGACATTTGGTTAGCAGTGTGATATGTTTAATCAACTAAAACAAGTAACACACTGAAGTTCAGACGGAGCAGAGTCTGTAATGCCTCAGTACCAGATTACCCGGAGCTATACTTAAAGATGCTCTTGCTACTCAGAGATGTCCGTTCTATTTATGTCAACCGTGGTGCCTAATGACGGGTGCTGGAAATCGGCTGAACTTGGAACTAATAAATGAATGAGAGAAACAGATAGAACTCTGCAGGGAAGGCAGCATGTGGAACCGCACCAGGCTGAATCCCCCGCTCACAGACAAACATTAGCTCAGAGTCTAGACACTGCGTTTCTGCCTTAGAAGGAGGATCCCCAGAAGGCATAATAATAGAGAATGAGTTGTTCATGAGAAGACATGGCTGATTGCTTTTGTTGTCCTCTTCTTTTTTTAATTATCAGTCCTTCTTTTGTTCTGTGCACTATCGTCATTCAGCGGACTGGTATTATCTGCTACTCCACTTCTGCAGGGACTTCTGTTTTGACAAAAAGCCTCATTCCTCCAACAAGTCCCACTCCCTGCTATGTAGTCTTTGAGCATTATCGCTCTCAGCTGCAAGACAGTAGTCACGATGCCTTTTGTCTGAGATGTATATTATATGCTGTTATTTGGTTTGTCAGTATTTCTCTCTCTCTAACAGTCACAGTTGTCTTATTTTATTTAATTTTTTTCGAGCTCATCAGCTCAGCTTTCTGTGGTCACTGGGATATTGAAACTGTTAATATGGCTCAAGAAAAATATTGCACTCTTTTTACTTAGTTATAGGTGAGAGTTGGGGTAAGTTGTGCCACTCTCTTCAAAGAGAAAGAAGGTTAAACTAATACACCTAATTACAGTATATTGCAGGATATATTGCACGGTATTTTACACCATGTATGAAATATAGGGATAAAAATATGACTTCTCCCAAAAAAAAAAAAAAATCTTGTTAGAATAAATGAAAGAACATATTATTATTATTATTATTATTATTAATGATGTAGTGAAGAAAAAAATTCTACATTGTAATAGTGTTTGTAATAGTTATGATATTTACAATAGTATTTTACAAATGTAATATAATATTTGCAATGTATTTTTTACTTCCACATTCAAAGACAAATATGCCGCTTTTAATGTTTCATGTGTAATATTTAGCCAAATAATACACCTGCTTTTATAAATGTCAAATGATCAACATGCATGACACATATTAGTCTAAATACTTAAGTTTGCTCACATATACATTTCATTTGACCTGTCATGTATAATATTTGCTTTTGCTTTGGGACAAAAAAAAAATCCTCAATCACAGGCAGCTGTATGTAATGTAATGTACTCACATGATGATAATTGTGCAAAGTTTGCTAAATTAAGAGGCTAATCTTCGTCCTCTATGCAATCATTTGATGACTAAACATTATCGAATCACTTTCTGTAATGCCTTATTTGTTCTCTGAGTCCTGTTGTGTGACTTTCTATAAAGAAGGTTTTAGTGTGGCATGATGGTCACGTTTCATGCTCTGCCTCAAGCTTATTGACTTGCTGGGATCCGCCTGTGCATCATAATCACTCAATGAGTCAGCCAAGGATCGCCCCGCCCACAGCGCTGTCACTCACCATCATACATACCGTACAGGATTCACCCGAGGTGGGCAGCACGCCCTCCGTTGAGGGGGAGGATTGAGAAAAGAAAGGTTCAGAGGAGGTAAAGGAGGATGAAATCTTGTTCACTGACGGTGTGACCTAGAATGCTGCCACTCCACCTCTGGCACGCTTTGTTGCGGAGCGGGTTTACAATAGGACAGAAAGCAATTTGCATTTATATAAGCTTTTTCATTAGGAGTTGGTCTCCAAGCACTCCAAAAACATTAAGAATTTGGTGGAAATGTGGCAGCCAATTTGAAAAGTGACAACAGACAGCACTTCTTTTGTTGTTTGATGAGACCAGGTGGCGTTTCTTCTCATGGTTTTGGAGGAGCTGGCGTGTAAGCCAGAGCACGCTCAAAACTAAAGAAGCATGACTAGGAGTGAAAAGCTAAAAGCCGCATGGCTAAAAGCTAGACACAAAAAGTCAGACCCGCAAAAAGGCAAAAGGCAAAAGACCAAAAAGCGCGCAGTTTGATGGTGTCCTGAGTATTTAAACCAGGCTGTTTAACACACCCAAATGGTGTTTTGACCAATTGTAGCTCGGGGTGTTGCAATGTTTCTCCTTCCCATTCATAAATCAACTGTTATCTCATCATTCACATGACCTGCGTTTTTCCCGCTCTGGTAGAGTATGATTTTGGACATGATTTCTATCACGAGGATATGATACATTTGACCAAGAATTGACTGGGAGAAACGTTTCAAGCATGAAAATTCAAACTCACACATACCAAGCATGAATATGACCCCTTAAGCTCTTCAATAGTTATTAACAATACATACACAATAAATGATTAAGACATGATGGTTAAACATGTGGGTTAGATACATAATATGGAGTTATGCATAGCAATTATTAGCTGGTCACCAGTCCTTTTAGTGTCATTTAGGTGCATGGAAAGGCAGTTTCCGTGCCATTCTGTGAATGTATGAAGACTAGAGATTAAAATGTCTGTAAGGAATTTTAGTCTGTCTGTTCTTGTCGTGAAGTGGGGGAAGTCAATTTACGAGGAGCTTGTGACTGTAGTTACTATCGTGTGATAGTCATGCGGTCATCTCTTTTGACCATTATTCTTGATAACTTGCCCCAAAATTTTACAATCTCCTTGGACTTGTCAATGTGTTCTTTTGTGTTAATGTTGAAAACTGTTCTGTGACAGGGGCTTAGGTTTAGGCTTGCTTCAGAGAGGCTGGGGTCTGATTTATGACATCCTGTTGTCTTGGGCCTCTGTGGAATTTTTGTGACTCCTCGTGCCTCAACTCGGTTTTGACCAAATCTTAGATTGTCTGATTCGGTCTGATATCCTACACGTTTGTCTGTTTTATTTTTATTTTAAGGTTGTCTGGGACTACGACTCCAGATCTGGTGGTCAGTACCAGCCATCAGATGTGGCTCAATTTTAAAACGGATGACACGAGTGGCTCCCTGGGCTTCAAGGTTTCTTACGAAGGTAAGTTGAGGAAACGCTTTGCATTTGGGTTCAGAGTAATCTTAAAGAAATAGTTCACCCAACAATGAAAATGTTGTCGTCATTTACTCACCCTCCTGTTGTTCCAAACCTGTATGAGTTTCTTTCTTATGTTGAACATAAAAGAAGATATATGGCCCCTATTTACTTCCATAGTATTTCTTTCCCTACTATAGAAGTCAATGGTGACCAACAACTGTTTGGTTCTTCGGAATTCTTCAAAATATCTCCTTTTGTGTTCGACATAAGAAAGAAACTTCCAAACAGGTTTGCAATGACATGAGGGTGTGTAAATGATGACCAATTTTTTGGGGTGAATAGTTCATCCAAAAAACTATTGTGATCCACATGAAAATTTTCATCCATTTGTCACCCTCAAGTTGTTCCAATCCTCTATGAGTTTCTTCCTTCTGTACACAAAAGAGGATATGTTGAAGAGCATTGGTAACCAAACAGCTGACAATAGCCAATGGAGGCATCATGCCCCGTCAGATTGTTGAGACGATTTTGAATGCAGCTTCCAAAAGACAAAAAAATCAACACATCAGCACTGCACACTATTTCCAATCACGCACGATTCTGTTGAGCTTAAGAAAGCAACGGCCAGTCAGAGGTGTTCAGATGAGTCATCACTGAAATGCCGGTGCTGTGCTCGCTGACTGAACTCTGCTCTCTGGCAAATTCTCTCATCAAAAACAACAAAGTGCAGGTGTGCGTATGATGTAACTAAGTAATTCATAACCCGATCTCATGAAAGTGTGTATCAATAGCACAATTTTATGTTTCTATTTGGTGTACTATTTATATGCATTAATTGACTTTGGCATGCATATGATATACAGTGGGTAGGATTGAGGTGTGGGGTAGATGCATATTATATGTACAAAAAAACTGCATATCATATGCACACCAACAAATTGCATATCATATGCACGTGAAAAATGCGTTTTATATGCACATCAAACGTGCGTATCATATGCACGCCAAAGTCAATTTCTGCGTATAAATACCACGCCAAATACAAACAGAAAATCGTGCTATTGTTTCACATTTTCATGAGATTGGGCTCTTAAGTCAATGATCAGTGTT